CAAAATTATCTTAATAGAAAACATTTAATACAGCTCCTTTAATTTTAGGGATATCATGATTCAAAATGGATAATGACACATCTGGGTTTCTACTCTTGGAATTCTCAAAGATTTGGAAGCTACAGACTACATATGGAATTCTATTACTTATACTGTATTTAATGATAGTAACAGGGAACCTTCTCATCATTATTGCAGTTGTTTTTGACCACCACTTACACAGCCCTATGTACTTCTTCCTGATGAATTTAGCCATGCAAGACATTGGTTCTACTACAATCATTATCCCCAAAGCTATTTTCAATTCTCTTATGGATATCAGATATATTTCATATTCTGGCTGCATTGTTCAAGTTTTCTCATCAATCTTCTTTTTGAGCTATTGTATTTCCCTCCTTACTATTATGGCATATGATCGATATGTTGCCATTTGTAATCCTTTACAATATGAAATGATCATGAACAGGACAGCTTGCATCAAAATGGTTGGCAGTGTGTGGGTTGCCAGCTTCCTTAATACTACATTACACACTGTTGCAACATTTACTACTCCTTTTTGTTCTAAAAATATTAACCAGTTCTATTGTGAAATTCCACATCTACTTAAAATTATTTGCTCTGGTTTATATGTAACTGAATTTGGAATTGTAGTATTTACTGCTACATTGGTAGTGGGTTGTTTTTTCTTCATTGTTCTTACTTACGTTCAAATTTTCTCTGCTGTACTGAGAATCCCTTCTATTCAAGGAAGGGAAAAAGCCTTCTCCACTTGTCTTCCCCACTTCATTATCCTCACCATATTTTTATTTTCTGGCTGCTTTGCCTACCTAAGGACCATATCTGACAGTCCTTCACACCTTGATTTCATAATTACAATAATGTATTCCATTATTCCACCCATTTTAAATCCATTGATTTATGGCATGAGAAATAAGCAGATTAAAATTGTTCTTACAAGACTTCTTAATTTTAAGTAATTTTGTATTAAAGAAATATGAGCAGTGTATTTATTTATTTATTTATAAAAATTTGAAGAGAAATCAGAGAGCAAGTAAGAGAGGTAAATTTTACTATGAGACATTTATCCCCTTAATTTTGTAAGTTTATTTAATTTATATGTATTTATCAACCCAAAATTGTTATACATTGGTTTTATGACAATTGTCTGTTATATGACTCTTCAGCCTCAAGACATTAATAGTTAAATAAAAAAATGAGCTAAGGAAATGATAGTGAAATTTGATTGAATGAGACTGGATAATTTTTTTTTCTGCAACCAATAGATAAAAAACATATTAAAGCTGGTTTGAATATGCTGCTTAGAATATTTATTTTATTATTTTTATTATTCTTCAAGAAAGACTTATATTGGTATTTGGTAAATTGTAATAATTTTAGGAAATCCATATGATGTGGTAATCACCCATATCTTACAGGCATATATAAATAAAAAGGCAGAAACATAACTATTCCTTGTACATTTAATATGTATTTTGAAGTTCTTGTTCCCTTATTACAACTGAGTTAATGGTTAAACGGTCTTCAAACTCCCTACAGTCTAGTGATGAAATGTATCTGTAAAATAATGTCATAGAGAAAATATTCTGTAAAAAATCATGACTTAAAAAGCCTGCTTTCTGGCCTTCCTCCTGAGTGAGGAAGTCATAATAGGAAAAAGTCATGGGAGTCATAATAAGCATCTCTACATAAAAGATCAGATGGACAGATTTGATTCACTACTGTATGTGTTGCTAAAGGTATCCTTGTGCTGCACAATAAAGGTTTTAAAAATTATTGATATTTCTATTGAATTCAAAAACCTACTGGTAATGAAGTGGAGACTTCAGAATAAATGCTCTTCTTATTTGATGTGGGGATGGCCCATCAGGAATCTAGCTGCCACCTTTAGCTATAAATTATTTATGAGTGCCTGAGATTTATAATACAAATCACCTGGATCTGCCCTGAATTTCTACAAGATAACTTTGCAACTTAAAGTCTTTGCACCATCCTCTTATATTTTCAAAAAGTAATGCTGTTGGTTTGAATAAGCTGCTGGCAAAAGAAATGTTTTCTCAGGACAGAATACCTACCCATATTGAAGAAGCAGACATTTTGTTAACGTCATTGTTGGTACTCTAGCAAAAGCATTTCAGTTTATTGGGGTTTCATGCAGAGTTATGGTTTCATGGGATGATGTAATGATATCCTGAAAAATAAAATGTCCTAGCTTTGTAGTCAATCTAATTTTTGGTAAAATCAAATGTTTTGTTAAAATCAAATGTGAAAATTTAGCACAAGCATTTCAGCTTATTGGGGTTCCATTGTTCTCTTCATGCAGAGTTAAGTTTTGTGGGATGATGTAATGGTATCCTGAAAAATAAAATGTCCTATCTTTGCAGTCAATCTATTTTTTGTTTTGGAAATAGTGCTATAGAAGTTGTACAGACTTCCAGTTTGCCATCGCAGCAGTCGCGGCCACTGGAAGGTAAGCTCCATCTTCTGTGTTCAGTTTCGCTCCACTGGTGGATCCTGGAAAGGGTCAAAAGTTGCCCTGTAGGGGCGACAAGCAAGGAGGGGACCCCCGCTTGATCGCGGGAGGGCAGCAGCCCTTCTGCTAGATCCAGGGCAGCCCTCCAAACCTGCGGAGGAAAGACCGGCCATAGTAATATGGCCCATCTCTAGGCTGCAGACAGTCGAAGTCAAACTTACCACCAAACGCTTTGAAAGCAACGCGGATGAAACTGGATGAGATCTGATCTTCTTTTTACTCTAAGTACTTCCTTTTCCTGTAAAAGCTGCCTGAAGTATCTTTCCCCCTGTGAGGAGAAAGGGAAGGGAATTTCTATCCCACCCTCTAAGAATAGCGGCAACTGACTACCCAGGGGAATTAAAGCACTAAAAGAACAACTTTAATCTAATTGGATTTATATGTTCTGGAAACTTGGGGACCAAAAATTTTCCTATTTTTATTGGAGACTTTTGCTTTTAACTACAAAAAAGAAATAAAATTGGAAAAAGGATTATAAAAAATTTGGATTTAAAAAACCTTAAATGGCATCAGTGACATCTTGTGGTGAAGTTTGGTATTACAACTTATTTCCCAAAAGAGACTTGGCTCGAAGCCCAGATCTTAGATAATACTCTTCTGACCTTGGCACCACCTGTGAGAAACTCAGCTGTAAGAGAACAGCTGGGTGGCATAACTGGCCTACTTGAACTGTGAATGTAAACCTTTACTGACTTTCAGAGTTATATGTGGAGAATTGTCTTCTTATCTCTTTATTTGAGGAATATTGGTTACTATATGAGATGATGAAATACCTTGGACTATAAAATCTTGCTTGACAAATGTTTTCTACTATAAAGACTATTTATAAACATGTAAAAGAGATGTATGAAGACCAGGAAATGATCCTTTCCATGTTAAAAGCAATACATGAAACCATTCTTTCAGTTTGTGATAAAATAAGACCTAACGTAAAAGATCAAGACACCAGCTTAGATACACAAACCCAAACTTTGATTACAAGCAAAGAACTAACAACACAGAAGATAACAGAAGAGTGGAACAATCAAATATTAAGACAGCAGACTCAATTGACCAACAAATACAATTAATGGAAAATTCAGAAAAGGGAGTGACAACACTGAAAATGGAAAAGACTTTCTATATAAATCAGAAGAAATCTGAGAAAGAAGAGGAACAGATTGAATGGAAGATAAACATATTAGGGCAATCATGGGGAATTGGAATAATAGGGAGACAACTTAATGAATACAAATGGCAATTAAATGGTCTCCTTTATTTCAAATAAAAATAATAATAATATAAAATTATAATAATAGAGGGAGATCTATTTGATTATCTAAAAGCACTGATATGGAAGCCTAGATGGCAAAGGAAGAAAGCCAGAATAAGGCTGAAGAAAATTGGAGTTTTGATTTATTAGAGGGGATTTCATATCATTAATTAGAGGGTTAAAGGGAGAAGTTGAGATAAGGGGAATTCTGGTCATTAGATTTAAAATATTTGGCAAATTAATTGAAAATAAGGATTTTATCTGTTTAATATTTAAAAATTAGACCTAAAAGAAAAAAATATTATGAATAGGTTTGATTTATTGATTAACCCAGGTAATATATATAATGGTTTTGATTTCTTAAAGGGGATATCGTATTATTAAGTAGATGATTTAATATGGTGAGAAATAGATAATATTTAGGAAATAGAACAAGATTATATTCAATAATGTGTATTTTGGATATTACTGTAGATTCTGTTATGGATTGAGATAAGGGAATTCTTGGTTACCTAAAGCCTGAAAATTATAAATATTAAAGGCTAACTTGGAATATTGATTGGAAACTAAAAATTGGGAAAAAATAATAACAGCATATGGATTGTTTATGAAGATTGAATGTAAACAATAATTAAAATACATATAAGCTAAAATTTATTGATAAATGTAATAATGATGTTTTTACTGAGTTGATATAATAAGAACTGTATTAACTTAAATACGAGACAGTAAACCTTAAGAGAAAAAGAGAGGAAATGTTTGATGTTGTAACTTGAGATTTGTACTCTTGATTAACCTAGCCACCATGTTGCTTTTTAAATACTTAAATGGAAAATTGGAAAATTAATAAAAATATTATTTAAAAAACGTTGTACAGAACTAGAGTACTGTTAATAAAAAAATATAACTAAATTAACAAGAACTTCACTTTTATAAGGTCTGCCAAAATTTCATGGGTGCTACCCAAAGGTTTATTTGAAAACTCTTGTTTTTTTAAAAAAATAGTTTCTTTGTCAAGACTACTTGCCTGTCCCTATTGCAACTCCTCATGGCCCCCTTTGTTTCTCCCCCTTCCCTCAAATCGAGTTTTCATAGGCATTTTATCTTTGGACCAATATAAGGTGATAGAAATCACCTTGTACTATAATTATGGAAATCTAAAAGTCATTATAGAGCCTGCATAGTTAATATGTGTTTTGGTAAAACTTTTTAAAAATGGACTGAACAAAACAAAATCTCTTGTGACCCAATTAATACAATTTGAAGGCTATTTTAATAGCTGTTGTTTGGACTAAAGTCAATGTAAAGTTTGAATTCCAATGTCAAATGCATAATTTCAGTCAGTACTGATCAACTGAGAAATGAACTCCTTGGGAATAGCTACAGACTTTCCATGGATGAAAATTGTTCCCATCTCTCTAGCACTACCAGGTGTGACAAAATGATATTCAAAGTGTTCCAGCCCATTGTGAATCCTGCTACATTGAAAAGGAGTCTGATCTTTCAGGTTTTTTTTCACAGACTGCAAAGAGGAAATAGCACTATGGAAAATCAATCAGGAGTTGGTGAATTCCTTCTGCATGGATTCCCTGACACTAAGGAGCTAAGAATAGTTCATATCACCAGTTTTTTAGTAATTTATTTGGTAGCACTCACTGAGAATCTCATTATTATCACCGTCATTCTTCACAGTCATCAACTTCACTCACCCATGTATTTTTTTCTAGCCAACCTATCTTTCCAAGATCTTGGTTCCATCTCTGTCACAGTTCCTAAATCACTACTGAATTCTTTGATGAACACTGAAACTATTTCTTACTCTGGGTGTCTCTGTCAAATTTTCTTCTTTGTTTTCTTTGTAATGTCTCATCTCTTCCTCCTTGTCGTCATGGCATATGATCGTTATGTAGCCATCTGCAATCCACTACATTATGAGATAGCAATGAACAAAAAAGTCTGTGTCCAAATGGCAACCAATGCATGGATGGGTGGCCTTTTCTACTCTGCTCTCTATACTGGAAATTTATTCACAATGGAATTCTGTTCCAGAGTCATCAATCAATTCTTCTGTGACATTCCTCAGTTGCTCCTGCTCTGATTCATACTTCACCAAATTCTGGACTCTCATCTTTGGTTCTTGTTTAGGATTCATTCAGTTTGCTGTAATTGTTTTTTCTTACGTGCAGATCTTCAGAGAAGTTTTTAGAATCCCATCCTCCCAAGGAAAACAAAAGGCCTTGTCTACTTGCTTACCCCATCTCACAGTCATTTGTTTGTTTGCGGTAAGTGGTACCCTTGCCTATTTCAGTCCAACATCTACCACCTCTTCAGCCTTATATCCATTTATATCAATATTTTACTGTGTGGTACCGCCACTCTTAAACCCACTAGTTTATAGCATGAGGAATAAGGAACTCAAAATGGCATTCTGGAAACAAATTCTCAATATTTGTCCTAATTCCTTGTGCAAAAATCATTCTTGGTTTCAACTATTCTGATAAACTGTAACATAGACATGTTGTCATCAGAAACATATACATTTCATGTCAATGTGTAAATTTAGCATATGCGTCTCATCCCTATGCATGTTTCATCAAGATAGAAATTATTTTTACCAGGTATAATTCCCAGTAAATCTGCCTATAATTGTAACATAAATCTCTTCCATTAAATATCTAATGAAATATAGATTTATCAATAATGTATTATTTTTTCTGTTTATTTTTTAATGCTATGAGGAAAAAATATCTTACCATTTTGCTTATTACATATGCATATAATTGCAGGAATGGCTAGTTTTTTCTACAGTCATCCATCCATGTTAACTACGTGGCAATGGATTACAATGATGTTTCATTTATTGTGGAGATATTTTAAAGGACTTTGTTTGGCAAGCAAGTTTCTTTTACAAAACCTGGCATAGTGCATAGGGAAAAAGGGGAATATGAGTGAGAATAAAATTTGCAGAAATTATAAATTATTTGTTTATGCCCCACGTTGTAGAAAGGTGGAATTGAACTGTTTGAAGTATCTGTATTTAAGCAGTGGTCTCTGAACCTCTATTTAATGCATCAAGGACTTACTTTAATTTCAGATTTTAGGCAAGCAGTAAACCAAAACTAAAGGGTAAAATTCAACAAATTTGTAAGTACATCATGATCAATGAAGTGTCAGTTCTACTAGAAAGAAGTACTCAGCATTATAATTCCTCAGTAAATCTGCCTATAATTGTAACAGAAATCTCTTCCATTAAATATCTAATGTAATATATATTTATCAATAATGCAGCATGAAAAATAATTAAGCATTACTATTTGATATAAATATATATTTTGAATTCTCTATGTTGAATATAAGGTTATCGATAATGACATTATTAAGATACTTTATACTTTAAAATATGCATGTATTATTTTTTCTGTATATTTTTTAATGCTATGAGGAAAAAAAAACTTACCATTTTGCTTATTATATATGCATATAAATGCAGGAATGGTGTAGTACATTTGTGTTATTTTGTTTTCTACAGTCACCCATCCATATTAACTAGGTGGCAATAGATTGCCACTATGTTTCATTTATTGTGGAGATATTTTAGAGGACTTTGTTTGGCAAGCAAGTTTCTTTTTGCAAAACCTGGAATATTGCATGGGGGGAAAAATGGGGAAAATGAGTGTGAATAAGATTTTCAGGATATTATAAATTATTTATTTGTGCCATGCATTGTAATAGTAGAATTGAACTGTTTAAAGTATCTGTATTTAAACAATGGTCTCTGAACCCTCTATTTAATGCATCGATGACATACTTCAGTTTCAGATTTTAGGCAACTAGTAAACCAAAACTATAGGATAAAATAAGTCCAACAAATTTGTAAGTATATTATGCTCAGTTAAGTGTCAGTTCTACTGGAAAGAAGTACTCTGCATTATTTTAAAATAAATAAATAAATAAGAACAGAATTGAAACTGTAGTTCTTTCTACTAGATCTTTCAAGAAGAATTTTTTTTAAAATGTCAGATTATTATTATCTGTTCTGCGGGACTCAAGAACAAATTTGCCTCAATATTTTCTCACAGTGTCAAATTGGAAAAGCAACTTGGGAAATATGCAATAATGGCAAAATTAACAATGTACATCAAGAGCAAATATTTGACAAAATTTCAGTAACAATGATTATTGTTATATTACCTTATGATGATAAGATAATCTCAGATACTGAGCAAACATTTTTAAATGTAAAACATTAACCAATTTTGCTATGTATTATAAATATTCTCCTCCTCCTCCTCAAGAACATGTGGATATATTTTAGAAATAGTAATAAATATGTCAATTTAAATATTAATGTTTAACGTTTTCTATTGATTTTAATTGTTTCATAAGATGACATGAGTACATTTATAATTTAGTTATTTAATAAATGAAATAAACAAATAATGAATTTTAATTTGTATTACATTTGTAAATTCTCTGATTATTTATTTATTCATTTCCATCTGCTATGTTCTAACAGATGCTTTTGGCTGAAAGACTGGCCAAAAAGGGGAGGACTAACATTGATTGATGCAGCATATTCACCACCATGCCAAATTGGTTCTTTATAAATCTATACCTTTATTGTATACTGGCCGGAATTATTGGATTACAAATCTTGTAAAATATACACATAAATTGGGGAATTAGAATTGAGTTAGATGCTTTTATATTGTAATTGTAGCATGATCTTAACAACACTTTTAGTTTAATGGGTTGCCAAATGGTCCTATGTGCACACTCATGCACATTTTAAAATATCTTTTCAAATACAAAGCCTAGATTTGACTCTGTCTCTCTCTCTTTCTCTCTCTCTCTCTCTCTCTCTCTCTCTCTCTGTGTGTGTGTGTGTGTGTGTGTGTGTGTGTGTGTGTGTGTGTGTGTGTGTTTGTCCTGCCTAATTCAGGACTAGAATTCACAGCCATCCATGTTTTAGACTGATGCCTTAGCATTATACCTAACCGGGTATCAGATATATAGTCATGTGAAAGACAAAATACACCCTCTTCGAATTTTATGGTTTTATGCATCAGGATATAATAAAAATGCTCTGGTTATTAGCAGTTCTTAAAAGTAGGTAAATACAGTCTCAGATGAGCAATAACACATGATATATAACAGCCGATCTCATTTATTTTACAAAAAGAAAGCCAAAATGAAGAAGCTATGTGTGAAAAAAGTAAGTACATCCTATGATTCAATAGCTTAGAGAATCCCCTTTAGCAGCAATCATTTTCTTATGACTTTATCAGTTCTCATATTTTATGAGTGCCAATAGATAAACTATAGGGAAATGGAAAATAAATATAACAAAATCTCATTTTATTGATTATTGAACAAAAACAATTGGAAAGAGGAAATCTCCATGATTAAAGAGGGTGAGCCATTCACTTTTTTGGGAGGGAGGAAGGTATTGCTAATATTTTAAATTAGAAACAAAGCAAAATATACCTGAGATAGGCTTTAAATTGTTTTTGTAAGGCATTGGTGATATTAAAAATATCTAAGAGACATCATACAGAACTTTAAACTAAAACAAGACAATTTATAGGTAAGGAGGCTGTGTTGGTACTCAGAAAATTAAATGTGGTTTTAGAAGTAGGGATTTTTACATCTTTAAAAATAATTTAATAATTTGTAATTATTAATTTTTAATACAGTTCCTTTAATTTTAGGGATGTCATGATTCAAAATGGATAATGACACATCTAGGTTTCTTCTCTCGGAATTCTTGAAGTTTGGAAGCTACAGACTATGGAATTCTATTACTTATATTGTATTTAATGATAGTAACAGGGAACTTTCTCATTATTATTGCAGTGGTTTTTGACTATCACCCTGCACACACCCATTTTCTTCTTCCTGACGAATTTAGCCATGCAAGACATTGTTTCTACTACAAAGCTATTTTCAATTCCCTTATGGATATCAGATATATTTCATATTCTGGGTGCATTGCTCAAGTTTTCTGGTCAGTTTTCTTCTTGAGCTATTGTATTTCCCTCCTTACTATTATGGCATATGATCAATACGTTGCCATCTGTAACCCTTTACAATATGAAATGATCATGAACAGAATAGCTTACATCAAAATAGTTGGCAGTGTGTGTGTTGTCAGTTTCCTTAATAGTGCATTACATACAATTGCAACATTTACTACTCCTTTTTGTTCTAAAAATATCAACCAGTTCTACTGTGAAATTCTACATCTACTTAAAATTATTTGCCCTGGTTTATATGTAACTGAAATTGGAATTGTAGAATTTACTGCTATATTAGTAATAGGTTGTTTTTTTCTTTATTGTTCTTACTTACAGTATGTTCAAATTTTCTCTGCAGTACTGAGAATCCCTTCTATTCAAGGAAGGAAAAAAGCCTTTTCCACTTGTCTTCCCCACCTCATTGTCATCACCATATTTTTATTTTCTGGTTGCTTTGCCTATCTAAGGACAATATCTGACAATCCTTCACACCTTGATTTCATAATTACAATAATTATTCATTATCCCACTCATTTTAAATCCATTGATCTATGGCAGCAGCTCCCAACCTTTTCTATACCCCGCACCCATAGAATGCTTTTGATATATTCTTGCATCCCTTACAAAAGTTAAAAATAATGAATTATACATATACACTATAATTTTGAAACTTCTAAACGCAAGTTTTCATACCCCCTGGAATATCGTCTCACACCCCTGGTTGGGAACCCCTGATCTATGGCATGAGAAATAAGCAGATTAAAATTGTTCTTATAATACTTCTTAAATTTAAGTAATTTTTTAAAGAAATATGAGCAGTGAGATTATTTATTTATTTATAAAAATATGAAAATAAATCAGACAGCAAGCAAGAGAGGTGAATTGTGCTTTAAGACATTTATCTCTGTAATTTTTTTATTTCATTTATCTGTTTCAATGTATTTATCAAGCCAAAACTGTTATAAATTGGATTTATGTCTGTTATATGACACTTCAGTCTCAAGATACCAATAGTTAAATAGAAAAATGAGCTAAGTAAAAGATAGTGAAATGTGAT